GGGGGGGGGGCGTGAGCCCTAATACTGGAAACCATCCAACATGCCCTGCGCCTTTGAAAAATCATAGTACCTCTAAGCGCCGTAGACCCTCCGCCGTACATGAACGCTCATCCGTGTGACGTTCACACGAACCATGGGGTACACAAAAAAAGCGAGATTTTCGTGCCTGCACCGATACCACCAATTCGCGGTCTCAACGAAGTGCCCGTGTGAAAAAGCGCGGCGCCCACACGACCACTTCTGAAGAGGTCGTCGACTGCACCCGGCACCACAATAATACTACACCAGTCTCATGCCTATCTCAAGGGTTGGCACGACAAGCCTTAACGAGCTCCATTGCTGGCCTCCGTAGGAAGCAACGGACTGCTGAGGCTACCTCACCACCGTAGGCAACAAAGGAAAAAAATAGTCGTCTCCCTGGTTGCACCGCCGAACCCCCCTTCCCCCAAGACGCACTCCCGCTATTTTATGAAACACAGAAACACACACAAAAGTAAAAAACCGACCTCGCGTTTTTATTGGTTAAACAGAAACGTGTTGGCGTTTTGTATCCCGCTGTAGTAAGACACACGTCTTTTCTGTTGGTCCTTCGGTTAGTGGGGTCGATGATACTTCACACATGATAATGCGAGCTCGCGTTCCTTATCACTAAATACAGCGCGATCGCGTTTCTATTTCCCGCTGATGATGTCTTGTCATTTGGTGATCGCGGTCGACGAGCTACGCGTAACTAAAAAAATCCGCACGCAAACACACACACGAGCTCGTGGTTATTTGTCACTTTAAAAGCGCCTTAAGCGTTGTTTTTCCCCGCTGTAAAGACTGACGACGTCTTGTCACTGGTTATCGCGGTCGATGGTAACTAACTCAACATTACATGCGCACCTCGGCAAGTGACTCCGTGAGCGCCTTCTCGGTGCCGGCTAGCGCGGCGGCAGGCACCGTGCCCGACGCCTCTCCCTCCATCATCTGCACCCGCTCCTCCAGGAAGGACACCAGCTCGGATTTCTTCTCGAGAGCCACGCGCAGCGCCTGCTTGCTCGCCTCCAAGGCTTCCACCTGGGGCGGGGGGGCGAGGGGCACACTCTCACGTTTTCCACGCCTTTGCGGTTAGACCATTGACCACGCGTCCTCGAGAGGACGCAGCAGTTCCACCTGGGGGGGGGGGGTGTACTCATAGTCGTGCATGCCGTAGTCGTTAGACCATTGACCTCGCATCCCTACAAAGCCGGGACGGTCAGGTGGCGCTAATTATTTTCACATGCGCGTAGGAAGAACTATAATAAGACACAAGTGGACCCGACGAAGCAGGAGCACTGAGAGAACGTGGAAATTTAACATATTTCTACTCCTCTATAAAACGAGAGGAGAACCATCCTCTCGACAGACGTAACGTCGGGGAGACTCGTATGCACATGCATACAACCCTTTACAAAAGAGGGGGTTTCCACACGCCTCTCTCCCTTTCCTTCTCGCCATCGCCATTTTATCTATTGGGGAAAAAAACTAGTGGGTCTCACGCGCCAAACGGCACCTACCTACCTGTGATCGAGACTCACCTCGGCCTTCGCCTGCAGCCTGCCAGCCTCGCTCTCCAGCAACCGGCGCTCGGCCTCCCCGGCCAGACGCGCGAGCGCGGCTGTTCCCCTCCGCGTGGCCCCCAGGAGCGAACACGCCTCCTCGGCCGCGGCGCGCTCCTGCCAGGCCTTCCAAACGTCTTGTCCGTGGTGCCTGCTTGTCGTTCGGGCGGGCGGCGTACTCATGTTGCATGCCTGACAACGAGTTGTCAAACCATTGACCGCACGCGTATCCTCGAGAGGACGGAGCGTTGTTCCCAAAGGACCGATGACTTCACCGATGTGGCCAATCGTCCCTTCCCACTTTGCCAAAGGTGGCTCATAAATGTTTCCCTATAGGCCCTGGGGCGGGGCGGGTCTCTCCATCCCATCTTCACATCTACGACACCAAGCAACGAAGACCGTGCCGTACAGGCCACAATACCTATTTCCCCCTCAGGGGATAATGTAAATAAAATCTCATTCTCTTTTCAGAACGACACAACAACAAGCGTACCTTGCGCATCGGCTAGCCACCACTCGAGACGCACCACCCAGCAGGCGGGGATCGCTCCCGCTACCACCGCCGCTACCAGCCCAAGGCACCAAGCCCCGCTTCTCAACTCGTCGCCAGTGGCCGACCTGCCCTCCCGCAAGCACCTCCAGCAACGACGTCCGGCCAGCGGCATCTCTCGCCGCACCCGTCTCCACCGCCGTCCCTTCGAATCCTCTTCCGAACCATTCTCCTGTTGCGGCGGCGGAGGAGATGTTTCCGGCGTCGACGACGACCAGCGCGCCCAGGAGCCCCATACACCGCTCTCCATCGCCGCTGCCACCACCACCACCACCACCGCCGCCGCCACCGTCACCTCGGCAAGCCACGCCGCCTGCCTGACTCGGGTCGCCGGTACCGTCCTTGCTGTGGTCACCGAGGAGGGACATCAACGCGAGCGACATCGAGCCGGGCGAGACGACCTGGGTATCGAGGAGCATGGGCACGCCGCCGCCGCCGCTGCCGCCGCCCGACCCCCGCGGTCCCAGCGGGATGATGGCCTCACCGATGCCGGCGTCCCCGTGTCGCGATGGACTCGGGCGACCGCCTGCTGCTGTTGGTGGCGGTGGCGGGTCGGGTTGACTGCTGTTTGCGGTTGCTGCCGCCGACGCCGCCCTCGCAGCCTCTCTCCGCGACGCTCGGCACGCGGCCAGCCGCACCAGCCGCTGAACGGCCACGGCGGCGATGCAGGTCGCGCGAAGGGACACCAGAGGCCGCCGCTGCTGCCGCTTGTCATGGTGCTGGTGGTTGTGAACGTTCCCTGCCGTGTCTCCGACCTCACCGCAACCGCCGCCGCCTTCGCTTGACCCCGGTCTCCGCGGAGTGCCGTGCGCACGCGAAGCCGGCGCGGGGGGGTCCCCTCCCCCGTTCTCGGACCCGAGCCCTCTCCCGGCCTGACCTTCCTCTTCATCGCCGTCCTGGCTGAGGGCGTCGACCAAAGACCTCAGTCCGTCGATAATCAGCACCATGGTCGGCTGCTGGGAACCAGGAGCTGCTGCGTCTGCTGCCGCTTCCGTCGATGCTGCGCCGCCCCCCACCCCACCCCCACGACCTCCCGCTCTTGGTCGTCGTGCCACCGCGCCTAACATGGCGCCGCCTCCTCTTCTCGCCGCCGCCGCCGCCCCATCTGCCGCCGCCGCTGCCGAAGAGTCGTGCCACTTCGCCAGCAGCCGCTTGTGCTCCGCCAGCAGACGGCAGCGCTCTAGCAGCGGCCAGCAGGCCCTCGCGAGAAGCCGCAGGCCGTTCTTCGCCGCAGACGCCTCCTCGGTAACCGTCGATAGGCGGGCGTTCAGGGCGACCGCGTTGCCCGAGATTCTGAAACGTTGGCGGCGGTGGCGGCAGTAAGTAGCGGCGAGGGCACGAAGTTGCAGAGGAAGGAGACACAGTCAAGAAGATGATGTGGAGCAGTGCAGATGATGCGCAGTGCAAAAAAGTGAGGCCCAAGAGATCAGGGAAAACGTTGCCGCAGGGGCTATTCGACAGAGTGGGGCACGGGGAGAGGGGCGGGGGGGGGCGTCTCCTCCTCCCATGAGAAGACCTCCCTTGCCATTCGGTGTCCGGGTAGTTTGACGAAAGGAACGGGCAACATCGTTCAGAAAAAAAAAATCAGTCGAGCGCGCCCTCTGCCTGCTGAGACTACACACAGACAGGCGGCTGTGTCAGGACAAAATGGGTTCTTGCCGCCCAACCCTTTTGAGGAGCCGATACAGTACGTCTCAATGGCAGAACTCGGATGTGTAGACAACACCAGACCCGCCCGTCCTTCGAGCGACCAAAAACAAATTTCAGCGTGACGAGTTTTTACCCACCTCGCCTTCTCCTTCTCAAAGTCCGATATCAGCCTCCTTGCGGTCGACAGGTCGCGGAGGGCGCAGTCCGCGGCGGTCTGGGCCGCTCTCTTCGCCCGCCTTTGCGCCTCCACCTGGCCCCAAACGACCAGGTGATACGGCACGCGATGGCTTAGGACGTGGTTCACACGCATGCTCTTCGTTGATGGAAGCGGCATGTTCCAAGAATCATCCGGGGAGCGGATTGGCGGCGGTCTGCTCTTTAAGATCCTGA